CCCTACACAAAATTTATAAGGAATTAGGTTTTGAATGCGATTTAAGTCAAAATGTTATGCACTAGGTTTTTTAAATTAAATTTGATTTATTGTTTCATATTTCTTTTTTGCTCATTTTTGAGCTATCCTCATCTTTGATTTTCTAATATTTTTGGTTTTGAGCTTAAGACGTTGTGGAAACATGTGAAATTAATTAAATTATGTGCTTTGACTCGTATAATTAAGGCAGAGAGAGTGTTAAGCACATGGTGCTAGGAGGAAAATTTTAAAAAATTATTTTAGCCTCTTTTCCTTCACCGCACTCATATAGGATTGATGCATACATGATTGTGCTGATGGAGACATTATTGTGGTCCCATTGGAGAAGTAGTTTTGTGGTTGTGTCGATGATAGAGTGGTCACATTGTTGGACTAAATAAAAATCATTTGAATTGTGGTACTAAATACTCTTATATGATTGCTGCAAAAATATAAATTGGATTTCCTAGTTTTAGTAGGCTTCTGTTTAATTTTTTTTTAAGAAATTTTTAGATTCAGGGTATTGTCTGAGAAAGAAATGTGACTTAAAATTAAATAATATTAGATTTTTCTTTTTATGTGACACTGATATAATGAATACTTATTGCTTCTTTGTTTCTCCAAGTAGTTTATTTTTCAATAGGATGGTGTAGGAACCCATAGTAAATTTTCTGTATGTGTGGGATCCGACCCAGTCAGCATCTTTGCATGTTTCTAGATTCAGTCTTTTATTTTCTCTTAAATAAGATTCATTTTCCTAGAGTTTATTTAACGTGTTGAAGATTTTTTTTTATATGCTAACTATACATGCGCTTCTTTAGGGTTATATATATAAACTTACTTGGAACGCTTGTAGCATAGGTAATGTCTCATTTGTTGTGGGTAAGATGAATAATATTCCTCATCATATTTGATGCCTTTCTTTATCAACTTTTGGGTTGTTTCTTTCCTATTTAAGTTTGTTGGAACATCTTTTCCTTTTTTATTTTAGTAGATTTAGGATCTAATTTTGTTGTCCCGGCCTTTAATCTAGCTACTTTAATTTAAAGAAAGTATTTGACTGTATCTATCTTTTATTTCAATTTCTCAATGGTTAGTTTTTCATTTTGCTTATTTATTCAAGATTATCACCTCTTATAATCCTGCAGTCTGCTTAGACCTCGACATTGATTTTGTTCTATTTGGAAATTTTTTTTTTCGAAGAGCACGATCTTTGGCAATTTATTTGAAGTTTATCCTTTCATTGGTATTGGCAAACTTTCCAAATTCTGCTCTTTGAGATTGTTTGGGACCATATAGAGTTTTCTTTAACTTGTATGCATGTCTAGCATTGAAATCTCAGTTAAAATCTTGTTGGGGGTTCTATATAGCAGGCTTCTTATTTGTAATCTAGGAGTACATTTTATACATCTAATTGTTATCTCTAATTGTTATCAAAGATCAGCTGAGGTTGGATGTTAGGGATCGAAGTATTCACTTCCTGTTTAGCTTTGTGGTTGCTGCAAATGTTTTTCCATAATTAATCCATTAGTCTGAGTGCAGTTTTTGCAAAAAGTCTAGTTTTTAATATTTGACCTTCTCATTTGCATTGTATATGAGAGTCTATACCCATTCTAGTCAATTAAAATTTTTCTTTTAGTAATTTTACTACCTCTCGTGTTTGTTTTCTTTTAGAGCTTTCATTTCTTCAATCACATCTCTTTTCAATTCTTTGTTTTTAAATGCTTATATTTTGTTATTCTTCATCTCAATGAGAACGGTTTTGTGGGCTGAGGAAATATTGGAACGGGAAGAAGTTGGCGATTGGATGTTGGGTCCATATTCACATTTCCTTTCTTAAAACACCATGAAGTTGACGTCATACATTCGCTGTTTTGTTATTGGTGTTGCACGAATTAAAATGACTAAGCATGCTTTGGTTTAGTGTTAGATTTTTTTTTTCTTAGACTATGCTGGTAGTAATGTTTAGGTTTGTTAAATAGGGTTTTATTGTTGTAGGTAAGTTTCAGGGAGATTATGTCTCATTTGGGTGATTGGGAGTTTAATGTTTAGAAAATCAAAGTTATTTTGGTTCCAAGGCTTCTGTTGAAGTCTCACTTTGGCCATTGAATATATTTTTTTTTTAGCAAAAATAGCATCCTAGACAATAGAGCATCTTTTAGAATTGGGATTGTAACACTTCAACTCTTTTTTGAGTCAAAAAGTAGAGTGAGAATATGCGTTTGGGGTTCTTGATCAAGTTTAGTGTTTTGATGGAAATAAACATCACTTGGTTCTTAGTGGAAGCTATGAGTGTTTTATGGTTCAAAAAAATTGCTGAGGGTTTTAATAATGTTTCGCTTTGTAAAATTTCACGGAGTTAGTTTATTAGGAATGTGGCACTAAAGGTATTTTTCTTTAAATATAATTTTAGAACATTCTTTTCAGAGTATAACCTCTTGTACTTCAAAAGAGAATGATTTTTTCTTAAAATGAAATAATTTTGTTGAAATGAAATAATTTTGTTGTGGGTTGTAACATTAGTGGATTCATGGATGATGTCCTTTTTTGTATATAAAAGATGACAAGGGCTTGATTAAAATATTTTTCCCATTAGTAGACCAAATATATTTAATATTAGTTTGAAATTGGTTATCAAAGTGTAGTGAGGATTTTGCTGGCATCAAGTTTATTTTTTTATGAGGAAAAGCCAGCCTGTGAACATGAAATCATCTTTGATAGTAACAAGCTATTTGACCCTAAGTGCAGATCACTTGGCCTAGCGATCATAAAGTTTTGAGTTTAAAGCTTATCATAAATAAGTTTGTGTGTGATTTTAGGAAAAAAAGGAACAAGCCAGTTGACACCGTTAGTATTAGTGATATTGGATGATCCGGGCATTAGTGTGCATTACTGTGGATTTAGGAAAAAAGGCATTGAAGTTTTGGACTCAAGGGGTAGGATATTGTATTGTGTGACCATTTGCTATAGAACATACGGAAGCTCCTCAAAATTTATTTTATTGAATAATACAAGAAACGTGGATTAACACTAAAAGATGAATTGAGCTTTATGAATATTATTGTTGAATTTGTGCCCTTGTATTAAAATTTCTAGATAATGAAGATTAAGCTATGCAATTATTAATTACTGTTTGAGTTTAGATAGTAATGTTCTTATTCCTTACGATGCACAATCATTTGATTCTTAGATAAGTATGATAAAATATTATAATTTAATTTAGGTCATATATTAATTTTTTAATAGAGTATACATTTATGGAGATTTTAGATACATGGAGAACCAACCACAATGAAGGAAGGGATAAATAACAACAAGCCTTTATCTCACTAAATGTTGTTGGTTACATTTAGGTATAAATAACACAACCATTGTCGAGTTTTAAGTCTCAGATGGGAAAAATAGTGAGTTACGTTAGGTAGTTGACAACTAGCGCAAATTTTTTTGTCGAAAAATTATGACATGAAACCAAATGTAGGAAAGTATGAGTATACTGTATATCTTTTCGACAAGAGTTGTTAGGGTTCTATAAAGTTCTATTTTATGATTTTTTGTGCTAGGTGTATGGGAAGAGGATATAGTTAAAAAGTTGATCATGATGTTTGTTTATTCTCAATCTATTATCTGGATTTTATTTGGATTATTTTAAAAAACACATCAGAGATTTGAAATCGAATACTCATCTTATTCAGCCACAACAAATATTCATTGGTTTATTAAATACTATCAAGATACGTAGTTTCTTTATTTTTTATTCTTAAAAAATAGAAAACACCACATCTTTTATTTTACTTGTTTTTAAAAAATATATAAATCGTAATATGCACAAACACATTTTCTAAAAACAGAAGATAGAAAAAAGAAAAGACTAAAATAGAAGAGAAAAAGTGATCCTAAACATGCTCCTATTGTTCTTCAAGATGGTTGAGGCTCATACCTTTGTGACCTGGGCATGGTGTGATTTTGTGATTTTTTTAAGTGTTTTCCTACCGGATAATTGTCAACTAGGGATAATGTTTTTCCTTCAGCCTATGCTTAGGTCAGAAGAAGAACAAAAAACTCATATAGTTAAGTTATATTTAACCCTATAACGTTTCTCAGTATTTTTTTTGATCCCTTATCTAGGTTGTAAAACCTTAGCTAAAATATGTTTATTCTATCAAGTTTTTGTAGTCAACCTAATCGTTTCAGTACACAATGGGCAAAAGTTATAATTCTTTATGAATGTTAACACCTTAATTGACCGGAGCAGGAGTAAGCGAAGACTAGAATGTTAACCAACAACTTGAATACAAGAAAAGTTCAAAAAACATTAAGGGAAAAAAATCGAGAAAACCACAGAAAATCACTATCCCTACATCACAATGACATGAAAAGGATTTAGCTACTCATGGAGAAAACAAACAAAATAAGGCAATCCATTTAAGGCAATGGTGCAAGTAGCATTACAACGTATGAACAGCTTACAACCAAGATTTTTCTCTTCTCCACAACAGTAAATTTTTCTCTCATACAAAACTCTCTCAAAGGAAATAAGAAATAAGAGGTAAAGAAGAGAGAACAACCCTTAGGGTTGAGAAAACTATGAATAAACCCTCAAACTCTCCAAAAACTCTCGAAGTTCATCATACAACTGCCCAAGATGATCAATTCATGCCCTAGCAGTTCTTGACCAGATTTAGCAATGTCAATATTTCCAAGTGTAGAAGCAACCTTGGTGATGTGGTAACTTCTAAACCCTTCGTGCATGCCGGACAGTTCTTGGATTGGCGTAATCAAGCTCAAATGTGG